CTCCGATGTGGCCCAAGTTGCTTGGAGGAGGAGAGGAGGAGGAGGAGGAGGAGGAGGAGAAGGAGGAGGAAAGGGAGGAAGAAGAAGAGGAGCAACCGAATATCCGCGGAGCGTCCAACCGATACCCCCGAGATGCCAAGATCTGCGTATCCGTCAAAGGCCTGCGAAAATGACTGATGCTTCCCTTTCCGCCCTGTCACTGCTTCGATCGCTCAACATGGCTCCAATGTGGCCAGGAGAGCCCCTGGAATCGGCCCACGGGGCTTCCATACGGCCCCAAGACGTGCCCAAGAGCGCCCCGGCAGCGTCCTAAAATGGGCTCGAGAAGCTATCCATTGGGCTCAGGAAGGCCGACGCCGACTGGGGGCCCCACTTCTTTGATCGATGTTCTTTACAATCTCCAAAGCTTCCCAGAAGGCCCCAAGAGGACCCCGAATGTTCCAAAAACTCCACGAAAGCCCCAAGATGGCTCTTGTAAACGTACACGGCACTCCCACAGAGAAACATCCGCGCATGTCCCACTCCTGGGTCTGCTGAGGCTGATTCCAAGCTTGGGCTTGGCTGCCGATTCACCTGTCTGGTCCTCTTTAAAACACCTCCCTTTAGTGAAAACGGCCTGGGACCAAAATAGGCGGACCTGGACCCGCAAAAAAGACGGCCGCGACGCCCTCTCGCGTACCGAAAACGGCTAATTCCTTAATCGACATGTCACCTGATCAGGACAACTCGCATGGTGAAATGTGCCTGGACGGACTGCTGGGTTTCGCAACACGTCATACATCTGGTCAATGCTTGCACCGGTGCGGGTGACCCGAGACCCTCCCCCTCAAAAGCCCATCTGGAAGCCTCTCCGGGATCGCCGCGAAGAGCCCTCGAACATCCGAGAAAACATCCGAACGACCGATTCCAGGAACGTGGCCATGCCAGCATGCGATGGAAAGCGGGCCCCCGAGGCGCCCTTCCGAGAGCACCCCCGAGAAAGCCCGAGAATAGCCACAGAAGCCGAACATCGCCGGAGCACTGTCTTCAACTGTTTTCCAAGAAAGGGTCTGCCTTTCGGGGCACAACTCGGATCTGTGGCGGCCGTTCGGGATAAGTCAGGCATCCTCGGATGGCCCTTGAAGTGGCGCCGCTGCTGGGAAGCATCCCGAGGCCGAAACAGAGCCCGCCCTGACCTACGAGAACGCCCTCGAACCTCGAACCTGCGGCAAGGTCTGGCAAGGAGGCGAGCTCCTCGATGGGAGTCCAGTCGGAGCCCAGCGCCACCGCCGAAGCCTCCAGTGGCAGCAAGGAGATGGGCCCAGAAGAAAGCGGGTCCTGGCCCCTGAGTTGTTTTTGGACGGCCCAAGGGCCCGAGGAAGGCCCGGGGCGGCAAGAACCTCAGGACCCGCGGACCCGCAAGACCCCTTTCCTTCCTGGCGTCCTCCCGGGTGCACCGAAGGGGGCTAGGAAGACGTGGAAGCTGGCGCAGCATGCCCCGAGGCATGTGCGCGGACGAAGGGGGGCCAGGGAGCGCAAGCCAAGAAGGAAAGGGGGCCATATGCCAGACTTTGCGGGCATCGGCGGGACAGCAGAATAGGGCGCAACTCGGATACAGGGCCCCGAGTTCCGCCAGCTTCCCTCTCTTGGGGTGGGGTGATGGTGCGGTTCCCTCCTCCCTGAGGTTGTGGGGTAATGCTGCGGTGCCGTCGTTTTCGTCGTCGCCGTCACGGTCGTCACCGCCGTTGTCGCCGTTTTCGTGGTCGTCGTCGTCACCGTTGTCGTGGTCGACGTCGTCGTCGATTTCATAATTTTCGCCCTCTGCCGCAGCCGCCCTCGTCGACGTCGTCGACGTCTTCGACGACGCAGTCCCCGTCGCCATCGTCGTCGTTGCCGTCGCAATCGCCGATGCCGTCGCCGTCGTCGTGTTCGCTGTCGTCGGTGCCGTCACCGTCATGGACATCGCCGTCACCGTCGTCGACGCCGTCACAGTCATTACTGTCACCTTCGTCGTTTTCTTCGACATCGTCGACGTCGTCGTTTTCACATTTTCGTCGTCGCCGTCGTCGTCGTCGCCCTCGCGTCGACGCCATCGCCATCGCCATCGCCGTCGCCGTCGCCGTGGCCGTGGCCGTGGCCGTGGCCGTGGCCGTGGCCGTTGTCCCCGTCGTCGCCGTCGTCGTCGTCGTCGTCGTCATCGTCATCGCAGTCATGGGGACGGAGCCTCCGGGCTGCGAAACGGCGACAAAGGAGGACAACTTCGACGAGGCGGAGCCGCATCACTCCGAGGCAGAGTAGCACAACTTCTACGAGGCGCAGCCTCAGCGCTCCAAGGCAGAGAAAGAAGCCGCTGCTCGAGCCCATGCTCATTCGGTGGACGTGTGCGCACGCCGGCATCATCGTCGTCGAGGCCGCACACCCGGGGCCAGAGCAAGGCAGAAACGGAACGTGATGCCCATGGCAAGCGCAGGGAAAGGGCTTCCGTGCACATGCAGAACTGGCACCAGTGGAGGAGCGGGCACCATGCCGAAGTGGAACCCGCTGCCCATGGCACAAGACGGGCCAGTGCCTCTCCGGCCACGACGAGGTGGCGCCGGTGCAGCCCACGGAGGTCACCTTGGTCCGCCCTGGCAGCCCGTCGACACGGGTGAGAACACGCAGCTGCGCAGACGCGCGGCCAGCCGGGCTGGAGCCGACCGTGGAGGAGCTGAGCACCGCGATCCTCCTACTGCACCACGGAGCTTGGAGGTGGATCCGGCAGCGGCGACGTCGAGGTGGAGGACGGCTATGACTCCGAGGAGGAGAGCAGCCTGTGCACAAGCGCCGCCACTGACAGAGAGGCGGCGCCGCCGGCGAAGCCAAGGAGAGGGCCACGGCGAAGCCCCGGGGCTGCCCGCGCCGCTGCTGCGGTCGCGCTGGCAGAAGGTGCCGACGTGGGGCGAGTCGGACGACTACGAGGCGGAGGTTGGAGCGGCAGGGCTCGGGGCTGACCAGCCCGCCGGCCAGGGCAGCCTGCCCGGCAGACGGGCCGAACCCCCACGACGCGCTCAGGTCAGCGCCGCCCAGGGATGGCGAGGAGGAGAAACACGAGGGCGAATTGACGCCACCGCCTCGGCGACGGCGAGGCAAATCCGAAGAGGCAACCCCAGAGCCCCCACCGCGCCACGCGGCACCACGGGCAAGGGGGGCAAGAAAGACAGTTGCGACACGTGCAGCCAAGACTACAATGCTCGGCATCGCTGGTGCGATACATGCTGAACGCAGCACGGCCCCGCAAGGGGCAGGGGGAAGCGGCCGCCGACAAGGGCAGGCCCAGGGACTCGCAGAAGCAGGGAATAAATTCAACATGCATTTCAACCTTGCCCAGGTGGGCCGCTGAGGGTAGGCTGAGGGTGTTTTGCTTCTTCCAATACCAAATCGGCGCTGCAGTTCCTTACCGAGGGGCAACGAGCCACCGCATCCTCTAGTCTAGACGGCCCCATGCTGCAGGACATTGATCGTGTGATTCCCGCTCACTCCCCGTGCTTTGCCCGCTCCTTCCCAGCTTCCCCGCTCTATCTCTCACGCCCGCCTTGTCGCCGCCATTTTGTTTCAAACTAGGGCCCTTGGCCTTAGAGCTACGCAGAGTGCTCGCCGCGTGATCATTCGACAAACGATATCAGCGATATCCATATCACAGTGGTAGCTTGGAGCGAGGCTCGCTATCCCGGCCCGCGGGGCCGTATACTCAAGACGACGTCTGCGACGTCGCACTCCATATTGGAATCGAAGCCCAGCGGCCTCCTCGCGCTGTTGCTCAGCGCCAGCATCTACGCCAGCGTCAGCGACGCCAGCACCAACGCCAGCGTCAGCGACGCCAGCGACTACGCCTACTACGCCTACATCCCTGCCAACTCCAACGCCAGCGTCAGCGACGCCAGCAACTCCATCTTCTTTCCCACCCTCAGCAGCGACGACAGCTACTTCTCCTACGCCTGTGTCAGCGACGCGGCATACTTCCTCTACGACGGTGTCAGCGACGCCACATACTTCTCCTGCGACGGTGTCAGCGACGCCACATACTTCCTCTACGACGGTGTCAGCGACGCCACATACTTCCTCAACGCCAGCGTCAGCGACGCCAGCGACTACGTCTCCGACACATACTTCTCCTACGACGGTGTCATTTCCCACCAGCTTATCGACACGGCAGGCGCCGACATCGATTACGGCATCGAGTTTTCCCACCAGTTTATCGACACGGCAGGCGCCGACATCGATTACGGCATCGAGTTTAACTTCGACTTCATTTCGTGGTCTGGTATTTCTTGCAGTCCATTCATAGACAGGATGACGGAGTTCACGCACAACCAGTCAGTGATACCAAGCTGGAATGGAGATCCAGCGAAGTGGCGAGATTACAAGCAAGAGGTAAAATTATGGAAGCTCAGTGAGAACTTAGAAGTGACACAAAGTTTGGCTTCAAAGTTAGTCCTGCGTTTGACGGGTACCGCCAGGTCGGCTGCTCTCAATATGACGGAGCAGGAACTCCACCCGCCGCCGGACGACGGCATCGAGGATGCGAACGAGAAGAAGCGCGATCGCAACCAGAAGGGCATCGAGAACGTGCTGAAACACCTCGAGACAAACCTAGGCCAGCAGAAGCCGGTGCAGAAGGGAGAGACGCTAGAAAAGTTCTTCGAGTCGACTCAGCACCATCGCCGCCGTGGAGAACGCACGACGGATTGGCTCGTGCGATTCGAAGCGGGACTACAGCAACTACGCGAGAACGAGGTTGACCTCACTACGCTTGACGACGTGGCCGGCTGGTTCCTGCTACGCAAGGCTGGGCTCACGGCCGAGCGCCGTGAGCGCGTCGTGGGCAACTTGCCGGACGAGCACTACTCATTTCAGCGCATCAGGGGCCTGCTGGTGCGCATGTTCCCCGATATCCATACATCGGAACGACACGCAAGCTTGCCGTCGCGATCATGGCCGCAGCGATCAAATAGCAGTTGGCAGCGCTCACAGCCAAGTCGAGCACGTTCAGCCAACATCGCTGACGAGCCAGAAGACGAGCACGAGGACTCGGAGGACGGCGATGACAATGACACGGAGGCAGACGTCCAGGACATCGTGCGCCAGGAGCTCGAGGCCTTCAGCGCCGAGCTGGAGCAGTCCAATTACGACCTCGGCGAGGTGTTCGACCGGGACGACTCTGCCAAGGTGGAGGCTGCCGCGGCGGAACTCGCCGCGGTTCCCGAGGCCATGGCGACCATGCGGTCGGCCCGGGAGGCTATCAAGGGCCGCGGGAAGGCATCGCCCGAGCGCCGACCCGCGGGCAAGCTACAAGGCCGCGTGGACCAGCGCAAGAATAACTCCAAGTGCTGGGACTGCGGCGAGGCGGGGCACTGGACCGGTGACAAGGAGTGCCCGACACCAGGTGCTCGGAAGTTCGCCCCGAATTCTAAGCAGAAGGGCGGAGGACGAGGCGGCGGAGGTCGCTCGCACCGCCAGGCCAACATCACCGAGCAGGTCCACGATCAGAACCACGTGGAGTTCGGTGACGAAGAAGTGATTCTTCATCCAGAAGGTCCGATCACTCCGCCCCCCGAGACTCTGGTCTCCGAGCGCGTGGTACCAGATTTGCCCACCATAAATACCACCAACGCTGGCGAGAAGCCCAACGACGACGGCGTCGGCGTGATCGACACTGCCTGTCTCTTCTGCGTTGGCGGGCTCAGCTGGCACAAGCAGTACAAGGAGGAGCTCACCAAGATGGGTCTGGCCGACCAGATCCTGGAGGAGCCCGAGAACGAAGTCTACAGGTTCGGGAACGGCGGCACGCTCCCGAGCAAGCTGCGCGTCACAGCCCCACTCGTCCTGTGTGGACGCGCTGGTCGCATAATATTCAGCGTCGTGGACAGTCCCACGCTCGGCCTGCTTATCGGCCGGGACTTCATTCAGCCGAGCAAGATCGACATCTCGCTCTGGCGGGAACAGATCCGCATCGGGAACCATTCCCAGAAGCTCATCACGAGCAGCGCGGGACATCCCGCGATCGACCTCCACCCGGAGGATTGGCTCGCCATCAAGGGCGCGGGCCACGAGTTCGGACCGAAGGCTGTCAGTACTAAAGGCATCGCCAAGCGGCCAGCCCAGAAGCCCACGGTCAACCTCACTACGAAGGCGAGCAATTTGCTCGAGAACATCACGAGACTCATCCCCAAGAAGGAGCTCAACGTACCTAGACGACTTCAACAGCGACGCGGTGGCAGCTCAAGGCTCATGGCCGCCGTAAGCTCTGCGTTGGTCTG